CCCGCCCGCCCGCCGCCTCAGGGGAGGGGGCGGCTCCCCCCGCGGCGGCGGCGGCGGCCCAGGGCTACGCGCCCCCCCTCACCTGCGCGCAGAGGGAAGGACCGCGGGTGCGCAGGCCGGCTCCCAGCTGCTCCGCCGCCGCCTCCGCCTCGTCCCCCGCTCCGCTGCCGGCTCCGCTCCGCGCCCGCCGCCCCGCTCCCCTCCCAGCGCCGCAGCCCGCCGGACGTGAAATCACTTCCGCTACCTGCGTGACCTCACAGACGCCACCCCCTCCTCCCCCGGAAGCAGCGGCGGACGGGCGCGGCCCGCCGGCCAGCAGCCCGGGAGGGGAGGCGGCGCGCTGCATGCCGGGACGCGCAGTCCTTCCGCCCCCCGGGCCGCGCCGCGCGGCACGCCGGGAGTTGTAGTTCCGCCCGGCTGCCATTTCGCGCGGCGGCGCGGGGCAGGCCGGGAAGCGCAGTCCCGCCGGAGCAGGGCAAGCCGCCATCTTGTGGCGCCGGCTGGGATGGAGGCCCCGAGGGGCCAGTCGTGCTAACAAAGAGGTAGTCCCCGACCACCACCGCCCTCCCCACACCCCGCTTCCAGGGCAAACCTGCCCCGCTTGCAGCGGCACTAGTGCGCGGCCGCGGGCAGCGCGGGGAGGGACAAGGCCGTGGGGAGCGTTACCACACGAGAAACCTGGCCCTGCCGTGCCCCCAGGACTCCCGAAGCTTTTCCAGCCTCCCTCGGGGCCACCGGCCGACCTAGGGAAACCACTGAGCCCTGGGCTTCACGGAGGAAAAATAAATTTAATACTTTCTGAAAAATACGCCCGTTTACAAAACAAATGTTTCCGCACTATACTCGTGCATTTTTAAGGCTTTGTATTAGGCAACGCAAATGAATGCTCTTTTCTGGGACCTACGTTAAATGCCTGGACTTCAACCCTATTTACAAAATGGGTCGAAAAAGCAATTTTTTGTTCTCCTTTGATTCCCCCCCCCCCTTTTTCTTAAAAGTAAGGCGGAACTGACTCTCTCCTTCAGACACCACCTGCTAAAACCAGTGCGCAGAGGTTTTAGCAACGATCAGAGCCATGCTGTGCTCTTCACTGCATTTACCCATCCTCTCAACTACTCTAACTAGGTACAAGCTTTTCCAGTCCTCTCATCTTCACAATCTCCTAAAAACCAAAGGAACTAGACACTGACAAGAGTTAAAAGCCCCTTTGTCCCATCCAAGCCACAGATGAACACAGTCCGACTTGATCTGGAGTCAAAACACAGCATCTGAAACCCACCTCCACTAACAGCCACCTGGATACGACGGACTTGTAAACTAACCACCACAAAAAGCAGGAAATCTGCCCCAGCGGCAAGTTGGGAGACGTATGGCAGAAAAATGTTTTTATGTGCAACTGCAAAGCCCAAAAGTGTGCGTTACCGAGGTCTAAGTTGCACAGAAATAAGTAACCTTGGATAACCCCAAAAGCCATTAGCGGTTGAAGAGTTACCATATGCAAACAGGGTTTTTCAGGCTCAAGAACAGTCAGTGAGCTAGCAACATACAGACCAAATTGCTCAGCATAGCTTGTTGTATTACACCACCTGTTAGGCTGCAAAGTCTCCTGTGCTATCAAAACACTTGCGTAGGCTGCTTGTGAGCAGGAAAGGGGCTATCTGAGGGTAACAATTTCATTAACATTTCTCTGCTCAGCCCCTTTACTGCCTTCCTCCTAAATTTTAGTAAGGGTTAGCCAACTCTACAGAAAGTCCTGGTTTTCTGATTTTCCAGGGACATATTCTCCCTTAAATCAACCTATTTATACTGATTTTATTAGTCACCATTACTGACTCATTTCCAGGGCCTAAGTGCTTTCTCTAGGGCCTGTTATATGCTTCCTAAATGCTTACCTTCTAGCAAAGTACAACCTCAAAATACCCCTGTAAGGATCATCCTTTAAAAAAAAAATAAAATAAAAAAATCAAAACTACTATGATTTTACTGCTCTTATTTCCACCTCTTATTTTAGTAAATTCAGCACAACACGTGGTTTTCTTATCTATAATGGAGGTTTCTCTTCCTACTTATTTCCCCCCAGTGCTGAGCAAGCCTAGTGCCTTGTTGCACCTCTGCTGAACTACCCACAGGGCAAAGAGGCAACAGCCTCCAGGGTTACTCTTCTGAGCTGAAATTTACGTATGAAAGCTGGCATCTAAATTGCAGAGCCTGTTTAATATTTCACTCGAGTCTCATGCTTTGTGTGATTTCCCCTCACTCCCTTACACTGCAGATACAGTTATTTCCAAAGAGTAAGCAGCCCATGGCAACGCCACATATCAATTGCCATCAAATTGTGTTCCTGGCATCTGTCCTCAAGATCAAGTTACTCTGATGCCTTCATCAGAAATTGTTGCAAGGCAGGTATTCTCTCTCTGTCCTTTGCATGTAAACAGAAGATGTTTTGCAGAAGCAAATTAGGTTTGACTTACTTTCCAGTGTATAGAAGCATCATGTTGCACATGTGCAGGTGCAAAGATTTACATACAGCTCACCAAGGTTTTGAAAGTACATGCATTAGACACCTAACACCTGCTGATACTAGAAACAAGAGTTGATGGGAGCAAGGGATTTTCTGACTCTGAAGCTGGACTATGCCACAATTACTTTATGCCTGGGAATTCTTTACATTTAGACACTAAAAGTGATGCAACATCCTCCCACAGTTTAATTCCCAGCAGTTACACAGGTTAGCATTTGCAACAGACCAAGCACACTAGCTGCAAGATCACTGAACTGCACAGCTATTTAAGATGCAGGTAATGGCTAAGGAAAGGCTACTTTAAAAATAAAACACATAGAGCTGTAATATTTCAATATATTAATCTTGACTGCTATGTTGTAAGGAAACTTAAAATGCTTGGGGAAGGTAGAGACCTTCAGAATAAAGTCTTATCTACCATCTTTAGAGAGACAGGGGATGACTGCCAAACATCAAATGACTGCTTTGAAGTCAGGTCCTCCACTTGGCTGATGAACTCAGCAGCCTCTTGGAGACAGATGAATGACAAATGTCATCATAAGCAAGCAGGGGTCCAAGTACATCCTTGTGACTTCATCAAAATAGAACTGACTGCAGGGCTGCTGCTACTTGTGCTTTCTTTCAGGGGCCTAGGAAAGCTGTAGAGTAGTTTTAAGACTGTATCACTACATTACACTTAATCGATTTCATGCAAACTCAAACAAAATTTTGCATAGTAATGAGTGCCATGTAGAAAGCAGTAACAGTGCAAGAATGAGTCGCTGCATGATAAAATTTTGTCATTTGGATAGGCTATTTAAATAAAATCTGTGCCTTTAGCTGCTTATTAGCATTTCACCACCCTCTATACAGACAGTCCCCAGAGAAACTGCTACTATCACAGTAGGAGATATTTGAAGTTACACTTAATTCTTGCACAAAAGGGATCGCACACCTCCCCTTTTTGTGAGGATGCAACAGCAGAAACTTACAACTGGAAAGACAAGGTATCAAGACTTTACTTCCACAAAACACACCATCTTGTGTCTGCTAGATGTATTTGCTTAAGTAAATTAAATTCATCAAGACTCAGCCTCCTACATTTGAAAACCCTTCTTAGCACTGAAGCCTCCCTGTTGGCCAAGAGGCTGAAGTTGAAAGAGCTGTCCCTAGTCATTTTTACCCACACGAATGTGATGATGTGCCTTGAACTTCAGCCTTGATGAAAATACCATAAAACTCAAGAAATAAAACTGTCAGCAGAATATACCTACCAGTGTTTTAACAAGTGGTATTTTAATTTGTTTGGAAACGAAAGAGGTTTTAGGAAAGAGAAAGAAGTTATGCAGTAAGGTGCTAAATCACAGGTGTTAAAACATGCAAATTTTAAAAAGACAGCTAGAGTTTCAGTGTGGTATCATGAACACAGGAGTAAAGAGTTCAGTAGACACATTGGTTAACATGCCAAACATCTATAACAAATTACTGTTGCCTAGCTTTGTTTATTGGTAAATCACTTTAGTAACCTGAATTCACAAATAAGCAGTAAATAACAAAAACTACAGATAAACACAGGTTACACATGCAAATTCCTGTTCACATATCACATGTGCAGGTACATTAAGAGCACAGTTCTAAAGATTCTTGACGAAACCAGATTTTAACAAAAACTGTTTTAAAATGCAGGTATGAAAAAAATACATGTGAAGAATATAAAGATACCTTTTTACATTTCAGGACTCAAACGCTGCTTCTGAATATACTAGAGATGTATGACAGCTACAAGATTCAAGTAAAAGCAGGAAGAGCTCAAGGAAATAATACTGGTCAGAGGAGAATGGGCATTTACTTTTCACTAAAAATACACGGAATAGCTGAATAGGAAAGTCTATCAAGAGCTTAGAAAAAAAATCACAAAGTTGTAAAGCTGACTAATCACTAGTTTTCCTATTTGCTATATAACAGCAATGACATTAAAAGAAACTGCAATTCAACATTTAAAAATGCAACTTACATTTAAAGCGTTCTCAAAAGTGAAATGCAATGACAGCCTTACACTCGAAATTAAATATCTGCTAGGCTCAGACTGAAATATGGAATGTTCTAGATAAAATAAAAATACAGTGTTACTTTTTATTTTTTATTGAGAATGGAATTGAAAGACAATTTTGGAACCTTAAAAGTAGTAAATTTCACTTCAGTGAAGTTTTCTTCCTGTAGATGAGCTTTCCACAAGGGTGCAGGATTTTTTCTTTAATAGCTTGAAGTGTCAAAACGAAAACTTGTTGCCATTCTCACATCAAGAACAAATTTTTGTCATTAACTTAACTGCATATGCTTTTTTGCTACAACATTTAACACATGAACAGACCTATAATGCCTACTGTATTTCACTAAAACAAAAAAAAGAATACAGTATTTCCATCTACTACTTGTACTGCTTTTAAAAAAGATTAACATTAAAAACAAAGCCACTGTTTTCCTTACATCCTTCCTTCCTTTTAAGCTTCTTTCTTTTGCCTGTGGTCTTCTGCCATTTTATCCAGAATTTTCTGTTGAAAGAAAGCAATCATATTTTGGATATATTTAAAGAGTTTCTCACAACATCAATAATAGAAACATAGATCTAATTTTCAAGTTGTAAAATCTGTGAATATTAACTGCAGAGGTCATAAATAACAAGACTGGCACTTCTCCATATACTGAAGTGGAGGTCTCCTGAAGCACCACATTATCATTATGTCACTGAACATACAGCTCGCCACCAGTAAACACCAAATGGCAGCCTCTGCAAGCATTTACCTGGCCCTGCTGTTAATGCCTTCCTAACAGGCTGGCAAGCCAAGAGAATTACTTTCCATTTTGTCATGGACTTGTGACAGCGATCGTGCCACTTACCTGGTTGGAATTTGCCATCTATAAAACCAGGGATAAAACATCTCCCCTCCCTAGAGAAGGGTTATTTTGGAAATTTGAGGAATTTGTTACCACTTCCATGACGTTTGGCAGCAATATCAATTCACCTATTTATTTATTCTTATTGCTCTCAAAGTGAATGAGACTCCCAGCTAGAGAAGTGCCTTGCCATTGTCAAACAAAAGCTGCATTCCCCCCTCTTCTTCCCCAATTGTAACATTGGTGTGGTTTTAGAAAGTCATTCAAGAGCAGCTCGCTAGTCATTTGTGCCATGGAAAAAGCAAATCAAATCATGTTTCATTTAAGTAAGCGATAAAGTTAATAAACTGGGATTATTTCCCCCACTTCCCCTTTTACATCAGGTCTTTAAAGTCCCATAATCAGGTACCTCAATGGAAAAAAAAAAAAAAAGCTATGGGTGATGGATGAGGTGGGTTTTCTCGCTACAAGATTCTGCATGGTAATTAATTTTCTGATCTACTCCTTAATGATGTTGTTTGCTTTGTGACATTTATTTGTGCCATCTGCCTTCCAGGGCCCTGTATTTGTTGAGGGTTCCCTATTATTGCAAGGGAGAAAGCAAATGTTCTGAGTCTGAGATGCCACCTTCTTTTCTATGGAACCCCCAGGGTTTGTTTTCAGCTCAATAATCAACTGGTATGAAATCAATTTATGTGAACGCTACATTACTATTAGAATTTCGCTTAGGATTTCCCTTCCTCAGAGGTGACATTTAAAAGCAGCTCACAGTACACAAAGATACAGCAGCAGCATTATCATTCATGCCATGCAATCATGTGATACCTAATCCAATTAGAAATTGTAAAACATGCTCACAAAATCAGAAGTTGCAAATACGGATTTTTTTTTAATATATAAAAACTTCAGCTTAAGCTCTGTTGACTGGTTAAAAACACTCTCAAAGGGACAAGTGGAAGGGATTTGAGTCATCTGTATTTACTCTGCACCACTACTAAGCCTGGCCTTTACTCCAATGTGAATGTCTTCTTTAATCCAAATTTACAAAAAAATGCTGAAGCCCATCTCTAAAATGTGTATCCTGAGTATTATTTTCACAAGATAAAGTTTTGGAGAGGTCTAGCTTAAGTTAAAAGTTATAGAATAAGCCAATTTCCACTGCCTGAATGCTTTTTTTTTTTTTCCTCAGTCCAGTCTCATTCAGATCTATTCCCCAGGAAAGAATCACGCCATTTAAAATGAACAAGTTTTTGCCTTACCTTCAACTTTTGATAATGAGGAAGGCTGCTGCAATGGGTCTTTTTTGCAACATCTTCATTTGTGTAGAACAGGGAACACAATTTGCAATAAAACCCTGTTTTGGGTACCACATAATTCACACCTAGAGAAGTAAACACCACAAAATAAACTAAGAGATCTACTCTACATCATTTCTTTTAATGTCATATGTCATTTCAGCTAAATCTTAAAACCATAATTCACTTTACATTAAAAGCTGCTTTATCTTTAAAAGTCCTTGGTTTAGTTTAGTCAAGCCGGGGCCTAGTAATAACTAAATATGTGCAGGCTTTTTTTTTTTTTTAAATTTAAAAGCAACCTTTCAGATTAAGGGTCCATTTTATTGGTTCTTTCAAAAGAACTAACAACGTTTTGTCATCAGTTTCTGAGTATTTAGTATGAATCTGAACTATTAACCACTATTGTGCTTTGTGCTATTAATGGAATTTGTGTTGCTAAAATATACCTCTTCCAATTTAACTTCTGCCTAAGGAAAGTGTTATGGAGAACTGCATGAAAATAAGGGAAAAAAAAATACTAGGGTTAGGAGAGGAGTGAAGAAGGGGAGAAGAGTGGGAAGCCCTAAAATGAAAGGCTCAGAGGCAATGCGTTGCCAGAAATAAAAGTCAAGCGAAATGAGAAATGCTACTGCAATGCACAGAGACATATTTGAAAAGAAATGGAAACAGCCTTACCAACAGGAATGTTTGGCTGGTATGGCCCAATCCTAAATTCATCTGGAACAAGAGGTTTCTCTTGGACATTCTTTGTTTCCTGTTCATCCTGGGTGTCTGTATTTTCATGGGCATTTTTCTCAGTATCTTGTGCTGTTGTGGTATCAGAAGCTTCAACAGCTTCAGCCTTCGAACTATCTTCGGTTTTGGTTCCATTTTCTAATGTTTCGTTTTCCTGCTCTGGCTCCTCAATCTTGTCTACCTTGATTTCTGCCAAACTATCGTCATTTTTGCCAGCAGATTTTACTGCCAAACCTGACTTGCGGAGTTTTTGATGATCTGAGTCTTCTTCATCACCAACCTCATCTAGAGTGACAAAGCCTTCCATGCTCCGCGGAAAGCCACCCACGTATCGCTGTTGAAAAAATGTTTTCCTCATGTCAGCTTATTCTTAAATGTTTCCCTCAAACTGTCTTAAGTTTCAGAAGAGAAATATCTTCTCCAAATTCCCTGGAAAAGTGCTTAAATTCTTCCTTCAAGACCTACCTCACTCATTCAATATGTTACTCAAGCATGCAGAAGTGTAACAAGCCCTTTTTAAATGTACTCCACTGTCCCAGAATCAAGTGTTCAATTTCAGAATTTTTTTTTTCATCATGATGGTCCACTGTTTTATCATATGAACATGTCATCTTCAACTTGAGAATTTCAGTATCTTTCTGCTATATTGTTACTTTGAAAGTCCTTCTAACATGAGTATTTTAAGTGCAAGTAATTTTGGAATGCACAAGTTTTGTTTCTATTTGAGACAGTCCCACAAGATCCTCAAATTCATGCCTGCATAAAAGGCAAAACCTTACCAGAATAATTCTGTGCCCACTAATAGTATGAAAGTTCATTAAAAAATAATTAAGAGCTTTCTCAACCAGTGAAAAGCTTGGAGCTTCCACATTAAAAAAAAAAACCAAACAACCAAACAAAAAACAACCAAAAAACCACCAAAACTGGAATTTTCTTAAAATCCAGCTTCATTAAAAGACAGCAGATCTGTCTGAATTCTGATGTTTTTGAAACGTTCCTGCTGATAGGGAGTAGTACTGAAACAGCACCAGCTTTACAGCTGTGCTCTAAGAATGTAGGTCTTCAAGGAAGCAAGTCTGGGTTTTGAGGCAGTTTATCATAACAGATACCCACATAATAAGAAATAATCACTGCCATTTATATTGGCAGTATTAATCCCAACACCATGTAAGTAGCTTCCTGATAGAAGGATCCCCCAAAATTGAAAACCATGCACACTTCACTCATTAAGAATAAGGAACATGCCTTACTTTTTTGCAAAACAACATTCCAAGTCAATAAAGTTACTAAAACTTTGCATGCTACTCCACATAACCAAGTATAATTAAAAGCAGCTGGTAGGACATAAAAACCCATGAGAGTATGGGGTCATCTGGTGAGAGAAAGGAAATTCACAGCAAGTAGCCTATGACTGAAGACACCTTGAAACCAATCCCCCCGCTCCCCCCCAATTGGAAATGGGCCTTGGCTAACCACAAATGGACTCGCCTACCTTTCTGGCCAAGCATAAAGTGTAGATGTATGTACAATTTTGTCCAAGTCTAGATTAGCCTCAAGTCCCAAATATATAATTTTTTGAATGTCATTGTTCTGCTCTGTGCTCAAACTACAGCCAGTCTCACAAGAAAACTGCTCAGGAGAAAACAGTTCCTGGCTGCTTAGTATTAGTCAAAAAAGGGTTGAAGAGAAAGGCAAGAAAAAACCCAGGAAGAGACATGGGTAGAAGCCCACAAGTTAACAGTTTCCATCAAAACAGAAACAGCAATTTATAACTGATTCCGTTTGCAAGTTGCATCCAATGGCATCTTCTATTTTCTTCACAGGAGCTTTAACACCTGTTTCTCTTCAGACAGGTGTGCCATGCATGTGCTTTAAAGGCCCACAGAAAAAGATCTGAAATAGAGTATACTGTGGTGTGCTATTTAAGTTACACAGGGTTTTCCACACTCAGGTACCTTGCTATATGATTACCTTTTTAAGCTTCTTCTTTGCTGCTGGATTGGCCACAACATTCCCCTCAGTTTTTATGGTCACATCATCAGCTGTGTCCTTTTTTTCTTCAGTAGTCACATCAGCTAAATTGGCAACATCTGCATCATCTCCTGCTGAGCTGCCACTTTCTAACAGTGCTGCTGCTTCCTCCTCATCCACTAGCAGCTCATCTTCAGATTCAAGGAGTAAACTAGGCTCATCTTGGTCTGCCTGTTCACTGCTTTTAGGGCCCGACGGCTCAGCAGCATCATCTTGTTTCTCCTCTTTCACTTTTTCTTCTACACTGCCACTTTCAGGTTTCTGAGTAGCATCTGTTTTAGACTTCTTATCACTTGGAGAATCTTTGCTGTCTGGAGAGTATGTTCTCTTTCTGTAAAGAGCAAAGAATACTTGCTTGTAAACCTGAAGAGAGCCCAGAAATGACTAAAAAAGGTAGGTTGTATTTTTCTAGACAAGCCTGAAAAAGATTGTTTTAGTCCAGAAAATGGAAGGTTGAGGAACCTTGAAGGATACCATTCTTCAAATATGCAAAAGGCTGCTGCAAGGAGGAAGTGTCCTTACAAGACAGGACAAGTGTTCATGGGTTTAAATTTCAGGAAAGTAAGGCTAATTAAGGACTGGAAAAGATTTCCTGAGGAGCCTGAAGAGGCTGTGAAATCTCCATCATTAGAGGAAGAAGGTAGGTAGCATATTAGAAACAGTTAATCTCAGGGCACAGCAAACAACAATTTGATCTCAGAGCTTGCCTGACTTTTGTCTAATTCTATACTCTGGATAAGGTATTTTCATATTTTTTTAAAAGAACATTATGCTTTAACAATAGGAGATTACCTAGTTTTATCCTTTTTCAGCAGTTCAACTCCTTTGTTTGGAATCTAAAATAAAATTTAAAAGAATTTTAAGTCACAGTAGACTATCATTTATACAACTGTTGCAGCATTAATTCAGACCAGACAGCAGAATCTAGCCAAATGCTTCCAATTATGTAAATCCACAGTTACTCTTACCATGCCCACCCACCAACCAATTAATAAACTGCTATTAAGTTAGACAGGACATTACCAACCTAGAAATGCCATGTCTTTATTCACAGTAATTATCAGTTATTAAATACAAAACAAATGGGATATCCTGCTCCAGAAAAATCATATACAATTCCCCTTTTGTTTATGAACTGATAGAGTGTGGTGCAGGCAATGGCACAAATCAGTCTTAATCTATACCTTCTCCCTATCATTAGTGGTGGGCTACACAGACTGCTTTAGCAGACTCACAATGCTTCACGTATTTATGAGTTACTGAACAGGGAATTCCACTTGTGTGGCAGTAACATGGAAAACTATTCAATGCATTGGTTAAGTATTTGAATTTGCCAGGAAGTGTTCATTTTTGGTGCATGATCATGTGCAATAGTAAGATTTTTTCATATTCCACAATAGAAAGCTTATGTTTTTGAGACAGCTTGACAGTTCAGATTTCTCCTGCTTTTCTACCTAGTGTCCTAGTCTGATGGACAAAGTCTTGTAATTGCAAGAGTAGCCTGGTGTTATGTCAAAAAAAAACCCCAAAGCTATCAGCCAACCCTGCAAATATGCAGTTACAAAGTAAGTTTTGACAAAGCTTATTCTTACAAATTAGATCGTAACACAGTCTAGCCATCTAGGTAGTTGGAGTTAAGTGTCCACAACAGGGATGAAAAACACCTTCTGGTGCTAAAGAAAAAAGGTTTTGGACAGCATCCAACACAGGAAATACATTCTGTTGTAATACTTCATAGTTCAAAACGGAGTCCCTAACAACATTTTGTCTTTTTTCTGTACACAAGAGTACATGTACAAGAAAATGGACAAACCAACCAGCAGCTGTGAAAAGCCAAGAAATAAGCATACAATGTATGAGTACAGAGTTCTGCCACTCAGTTTGATTTTACTCACCGATCATTTTTAGAGGAGCGTGAGAAAAAACAGAACCCACATTACAGAACGTTCTAAATGGAGACATTTTAATTAAAATCTACACCAATTACTCTAAAATCTGAATTCTAGTTGTTTGGTTTTTGTTTAATCTGAAAGTAAAATCCTATTACTTTGTTCTAGGCCTCGTAACACCACACTCATGCTAAGTTACTGCACTTAAGTAGCCAGGAAATACTAAAGCAAATCCTTCCATTTTACATGTGGCACTGAATATTCAGTAAGTGATAACTGTCTTCTACTTCGCTTTACACTTTCAACTACAATTAAAAAACTAAACCCACTACTTACCCTTAACACCAGTTTCTTGTATTTTTCAGATAAATCCACTTTCACACATCTGCCTTGGAACCAAAGCGCTTTGTTGGCACAATGCTCAACCATAGCTAAAGCATCTTCTCTGGTCTCCATCTCGATGAAAGCCTGAAAAGATTAAAACACACATTAAACCCAACTATGAAATACACAACACTTTTGCAGGCAAAGCTATTTAACTTAAAACGCAGCGTTTCCAAATGCTGAAACAAAATTATGAGATTCAGCTATCTTCAAACTAGCCGTACATCTTGGAATTTACCAAAGTGCTCTATATATCCAAGCTATTCAATTCAGTAGTATCTGTCACATAAAGTTCTGAAATTAAACAACAGGCATTTAAATAACCTGCAAAAAAAGGTCACCATGAAGTAAAATATGATTCAAAATAAAAAGCATCTGGACAATGAAACACATTTATTTGGTGCTAAAGTATCTGGGAATTCCAGGGTAGCTAAGAAACTACCCCAGTATTTTATTTTTATTTTTCGAGAGAAGCCTGAAACAAAGGCAGCAACTGCTGGTCTATAAGCCCTGCTTTGTGAGGTGTTCCTCCAAGAAACAAGCCTATGACACACAAGTTTGCTGAACAAGCTTTTAAAAACACATCTGGGCTAGAGTATCATTGGCAGACAGAAGAAAGCTGTTTCTGCATCCAGCTTAGACAGCAAGGGATTTTATTTTCTAGTGAAATAAGGTCAGGGAGGACTTCCTAGGGGTCATACCATAGATTCAAGTAATTTTTCACACCACAAGTGTGGCATTACAGGATTCAGGCATTCACCTCTCTGAAAAAGTGCTGGAATTTCCTATTTAACTCAAGGGAGCAACAAACTGGGACAGGAAAGTTGAAAAAAATTTAGAACGAAATACTTTAAACCACTGTGTATTTATAGGAACCATATTTATAGGAACCATGTACATGCACATCCAAAGCCTTTTACTATACACATACAATGCACTATCTTCAAACTTTTTTTTTTTTTAAGTTAGAGAGCCACAGCAGGACTGCTTTTGTTTAGTTTTAAAGAATAAAAAATAAAGGGTAAATGAAAGAAATGTGTAGTAGTGGAATACATTTGTTAATGTTTCATAGGTAGTATTTTTTCAGCCTTAAAAAAAAGTTCCAAGACTCCTAGAAATCTGCGTAACAAAAAATTAAGCCTCAATACTAAATATATGTTCTTCACAGCTGAGGCCCATTCTTTCTTTTTTTAAAGCAGCTCACATTACAGCAACATTTTGCAGTATGCTAGATAGCAAAACACCACCTACATAGACCTCTAATAACTTCCATATCTATGCTAGAACAGAAAGTCGACACATGCACCAATTAAAGACATGCCATTTCTTCACAATTAAAAAAACTTAGTTTCAAATTTTCACACATGTATGTTCCTATGGTCAGTTACCTGGCTTTTCATTCTCATGAGTATGTAGTTCTTAATTTTTCCATACGGTTCAGCCAGTTTGAGTACTGCGTTGTCAGAGTATCCCGAATGAGGTAAATTGCTGAGGTGAATCACACGACCAAGTTCTGGTTTTGGCGGCTCAGTTTTTTGGTCAGGTTTACCCTCGGGTTTCTAAAATTAAGTGGGAATGAAATTTTTTAAAGTAGATACTACATAAAGTATACATGGATGACTGTCCCTTGATTAAGTTGATACAGCTGAGAAGTACAGGAACTAAGAATAACTTAAATGCAATGGCCTCATAACACTGACTGCCCTAGATTAAAATCAGGCAGTGTTAAAAAAGCAGAAGTGTTTTACCTTTATTCTTTTGTATTTCTGTGACAAGTGGACTCTGACTGGTTTACCAAACACTAGCGCAGGTGTTGTTGAATAGTATTCTACTGCAGCTTGAGCATCTTCCGTGGTTGACATTTCGATAAATGCCTGAAGTCATACAAAAACAAATTAAGCACTACTCCTTCAAGAATTAGTATTTTTGTTTAAAATCTCAAGCTCCTCCTTGCTTTCCTGTAAAAACAGCTGCATCAAAAATGAAAACTGCCTTTTGGTTACAACATTAACTGACCTGCAGAACCTCACATGAATTTCACATACTTTATTTAGGTGCACCATCAAAACTATTTAGTTTGTTTACATTTCACCTAGATTTGGATTCAGAACATTCAATTGCTTCCTGCTTTTTCTCTTCTATGGTATCAGCTTTTCCACACTCCAAAATATGACACACTGTATGATACAAACTAAGACCAAATAAGTTTTCAGAGAGTATTAGAACAAGAACAGAATTTGCAAGCATGGTGTATTTTTGAGAAAGCTGTGAACAACAAACAGGAAGGATTTTTTTTAGCAATATTTAAGTTAAAATGCAGTACTACAGCATTTCTGCAAAGAAACATAGCAGTCACTCATCCTTTCACACATGACCTTGGTGACATGTGCTATCTTGCTTGGTAGCCGAGTAAGTCCTTTATTAAGCTCAGACAGTAAGCATACTAAAGACACCAAACAGCACCCACAGCAGTACTAAAAGGCCTAATCTTACCTCGTTGATTTTGTTTAGAATCAGGTGATTTGTAATTATTCCAAATGGTTCAACAAGCTGAAGCAACTGATATCTCAAGTTCTTTCCCCTCTGGAAATCCATGATGTGAACAACTCTGCTTGTTTCCTGTTGAAGACAAAGCATGCATAAACATGAAAAGAAAATGTGTATCAGCTGACCTAAACAGAAAGTCTGTCAAGGCTCAGCTCTACTTGTTGGTTTTTTTTTTTAATTTTTTAAATCTTCAAGCAGTAACCAAAGCAAGATGCATATAGAAAAGGCAAAGAACCTCCAGGGATTTCCACAGAGGAAGATGCCTGCCATGCCAAAGTTGCCTTTCTTGTATGATCGTGTCCCACAGCTTCATCAGAAGAGAATGTTTAAATAGGGTCTGTACAGTTTTGAACAAATATTTTGTAGAGTACTTGGCACAACAAAACCCCAATCATATTCCAAAGCTTCAGTATTTCCACACAAATCCTAAAATCTCACTTTTAAAGACAATCCATTAATTAAAAAAAAAAAATCTTATGAAAGCAAACAAAAAGTATAACATAAAATTGTGGGGTTTTTTTAAAAAACAACAAATTTTTAATACTAACCACTCTGCCCTTTTGCATGTGTCTTGGTCCTTGCATATTTCCATTTCCAGCTCCTTTAAGAAATTAAAAGAATGAGCAAGCTTAGTTCAACCTGCAAGACTGGTATCATATTAACACATCTCTTCACAAGTTCTTAAGAAACCAGAATGACATCAAGTTTCAAAAACTAATTATTTCATTACAGTCTGAAAAGGCTGTTAATTTGTTTATTTCAGAGCTCTTGTAACTTGAGGTCCTCCTTCCTGGTCATTCTGTTCAGTTTAACATTAGAGAAAGCTGCATTTACTAATGTGCAGAAATAGCAGAGAGTAAGTAAAGCCCATTGAAAAAAATATCTCCTGTTGTAGAGTAAGATTTGCCATAGCAAAATGTCTCTGTACACAAAACCTGTGAGATCTCCAAGATACACTTTTCACTACTGAGATTTTTAGGTGCAGAAAAAGACTCCTAGTTTTGGTTCTAAACCAGTACAACTTCTATCATAATGCCCATTTTACTAGGAAACACCTGAAAAAAGCCTTTTAGATAGTTAGGCTCAAAGTCAAGTTTGAGATGTTTTGAAAAATTAACAGTATTATTTTAATGAAATTAAGTATGAATGCCCCTATCATCTAAAAATTCCTTTAAAGTGTCTGAAATACTTGTACTCTGTCAGGATACATAGGTAAATGAATTAGTTTTGCTCTTTTAGTCACTTGAACTATTTAAAAGGTAGAAAGTAACAACTTCAGACAAGAACCTGATTCTTAGCCTGCCTTCCTGTGAAGAGGCTTGCATCATCTATCTTCCCATTTCTTACTTGCTATTCAAATCTATTTGTCAAATTCATTTGAAACTACGGGGGAAAAACACTTAGGACACTGAATTCTATCAAGTTTCACAAAAAAAACCCCCACCAACATGTAGCTAATCAGAAGACGGATACAAAAAAATTCTAGACAGGAAAAAATACAAGTCCAAAATGTGTGGATTAATCAAACACAGTTAAAAAACAGCCATAATAATGTGACTTGTAGTTAGCAGATGGTAGAAAGGTGAAAGTGTGGGATCCTGAGTACCAGTCTTTGGCTAGGGAGGGACTAAAATATTTCAGTTCCACTGCTTAGAAAAGTGAGTGTTTTGTTTTGTTGTTCTAAAACACTGGTAACAAATTAAAACAAGAATAAGGGGAGAAAAAAAAAAATCAGGAACTTAAAACTTGTAAAAGTAGGTGCCTGTTGATGTTACCTCTTGGCCCAACAGGAGGTCCTCCAAGGTGAAACGGAGGTGGTGGTGGTCCCAGAATTCCTGGTGCAGGGTTTGTGGATTGCTGCAACATAAAGGGATCACCCCTAGAAAGAGGGGAAAACACACCTTAATTTTAAACCAAAAAACTGCAAAGCTTTCATTCTCAATAAAACCCTAATTTCTGCAGAGCATCTAAGGAGAAGTCAGCTTTAGCTATTTTTACTGCTGCTCTTCAGCTAGTAGAAAACAAAGGGAGGTATCCATTTGAAGAAAAGGAGGTGTTTTGTTTCACGTAAGATGTTAAGAATGTCCTCTGCTTCAAATAAAAACATGACAAATACTTCAAAAATCATTACTACTTACATTCCATGTCCCGAGTCACTGTCAGGATTCCATTCTGGATATCTTAAAAGAAACAACAAAAAAAAAAGAAAACAGTAAGAAAAAATACAATCTCCTCTACCTATGTAATAATTTTCATACAAGCAGCTATACCTTTACATGTAAACACAGGTAAAACACACAGTAACACTGCCCACTACAGGACCATGACAAGAGTCATGAGCAGCATCTATTGACAGAATAGAAGTGCTATTCTTAATGAGAAACTTCCTACACTACATGTAACATGTCTGCCAATTTATAATACAAATTGCACAAAGTTCATTTTACAACGAGAATTTAGGAGTTGGTATAATTGTCTAGTAAAAAATTACAATAGACTGTCAACTGTTAAGATCCAACTCTTTAAAAACATTACATATAGATCAGTAGGATTCAAAAGTTATGAACCAAGAACCCTTTTTTGTCCTGAAGATACTCTTTTAAGTTGTTTTTATTCCCTACAAGGCACAGCATGTTTTCTAAACCTGCTTTGTGCAAAGTAATTGACCATTATTTAGTTGTACACGCCCTCCTCATGCCACAAGAATGTTTACTGTACTTCAAATTCATACATTTCAAGCAGCAGCTGACAACGTCGGCTGTGAGTCGCTCCATTGATATGATGGTTCCACTCCTGCAGCAAAGTAAATAATTAAAAATTAACAGCCACGTATAGCAAGCCATTTTTAACAAATAATGTTGTATAGCGCAATATCTTCTCTTCTAAGCTGAAGTATCAAAGACACATAGATACCAAAATCTCTTTCTGTAGTGCTTTAAAGAAACACTGAAATTGGACCTACCTCTTAACTCCTAACCTGGGTGAAAAGGTGTCTGATGAAAAACGTCTTGCAATCTATGGGCCTGAACCTGCCTCAAAGGTGCAAAGCTTACCAGGGGATAACTGCTACAGCACACATGCATGTCATTGCTATTTCAACTTTTAGAACTGGATGCCAAGATATTTTTTTTGTCTTCAGTAATTTCAGAATTTCCTCCACTCTCTCTGCTTCATTCCTCAGACTTTTAAAGATTAATGTGAACTAAACACTCAAGTTTCTAGAACCATAAAGAAGCCAAGAAATAAGGAATTCAGAAAGGAAAGACTAAAGAAATGAAAGTGCATAGCTAGGACAAACTACAAGTATACAGGTGAAATATAAAAATAATGACCATTTGAGGGGAATAATCAAGAAAAAAGGAGATTTAAATCAAGATCGTACAAAGGAGGAGTAATGGAATTAAACCAAATCAGCCAGGTGAAACTACTTCTGGTTCTGGCTTTGGCACTAGAAAGGAATGAGGGCTTTCTACTTTTTCTCTGCAGACTATTTTGATTACAAAGGGAGTTATTCAAGAGGTGAGAAGTCATGGGGACTTCTCCTTTATCGAAGTACAGAGTGCCTGATCTCCATATGCTTACATTTTTAACAGCACTAGTTTGTGCTATATTTGCATTTTTAAAGTGACAAGAACTTCTGAAGTTTCACTGCTGCACAGCTGTGAGCCACAGTCTAATTTCCACTCTGCTGCTCTTTAGTAAGCAAAGGGATCAGCAGAGACACATGGGGCAAGTTAGCTTTATGTTCACAGAGAAATGAAGGGGAGAGTAATTACAGATCTGGGGGGAGGGGGGGGCAGTTTAACTGAAGGTTTTCTCTTATTGGCTACATTTTCAACTGTGACCAGGTATACTGCACTGGCTGACTGTTTTACATGTCTCTGCTTACATGCATATTTCTGCTCAGCACCCACAAACGATCTTTTCCTAATCCCTCATCTTTTCTGATTTTTAGTTTCTGCCACACTACAGTCACCCTTCTGGATACAATGAGACACTCCTGAGGCTTACTGTAGTGTTTCCATATGCTAAATGCCTACCTTGCACTTTCCACAAAGGAGAAAAACCTGGATGTAAAGTCTCCCATAAAGTGCTGTTGTTAAGCTACACTACAGTATTACTCCATGATACACAGAACATGATGTGGGCCAAGATGAAATCTTCATTCATTTTATCAAGATGTAAAATGAGAGCACCACTTTTTCTTGTTAACTGCACAAGATGTAGGCTCTGCAACTATAAATTAATAAATATGTTGGCAAATAGGATGAAAAAAAACACCAAAACCCCCAAGCAAACCTACCTATGAAACATTCAATACTTAATGTTTCCTCAGTTTAAAACTTGCTAACAAGTTTTAGTACTATACTAGAGAAAACAGTCCTTTAAACACTAAAAAAACCCTAAATTTGGGTGCATAATCTGTAAAGCCTCAGTGGCTGATTCTGCTAGATATAACATGCTTTAAAGCTGTCTTAACAAGTAATTTTAAAGTATTATAAACTGAAGTAGACGTTATCTGCAAAATAGAGCCAAAGTTTGGGAGATCTAATTCTCATTATATGTCAAAATTTTAAATTGCTTTTAAATTGGCAAAAAAGGGAGATCTGACATATAAATTAGGATTCCAACCCCCCCCCCCAAAAAAAAGTTTTCAGAACAACAATGGCTCATCTACATTATTAACTCTTTATTAAATAAAATTCTTGATCTGGACTTCCCTTTACTCCCTGCCTCTACCCAGTTGAAGCATCACTCTTCTGAGATTTCAGGGCACTAAATATTTACAGACACTGATTAACATTAACACCCAAAGTTAAGCTAGAGAAAATATGAACTGAGTTTCTTAAAACTCAGATTACCTTTTGCCTCAATTGATGCAAGCAAGAGGACACACTGTTCTTCAGAAAATTAGGCCAAACTTAAGCACCTAATTTTAGATAGCCCTCTATTAGGGACATGGCCATGTTTTTCCTTTGAGATGTATCACCATTTCAAGTGTTTAACCTCCAAATTCATCTGCTCATGTTGCATCAGCCTTTTTCTTTGGCAAGGAAAACAATCCCTCCACATCTAACACCTCATTCCTTGATAAAGGGATCAGGATTGACAAAATGCCTAAAAACCCTGGGGCACAATTTACTTCACAATTAGACAGAAAACAAACTGGGTCTTAAAATAAATACATGTCAAATTAAAGAAGCAATTAAGAATGTCGCTAAAAGAGAAAGACAGAGGACCAGCCTGCCAGCTTTAGTTACACTAAGGGTGTTTAACCCCTTGCTCGAGCTTAAAATACACATTGCTTCATCACACACTTTTAAAAAAATCTCATGGTATTTTTATTTAGAGGTAGGGGAAAATGAGATTTTGATACTGCAGTAATAAGTTTACATTGTCCCAGCTAAGAAAAGCATTCCCTTTCTGCTTTCCATAAATTTTGGTTCAGATCAGATTACTTTAAAAGTTAAGTTCTACTTGATTCAATTTTGTGGGAGACAAAATAAGAATTCTGTAACTGTTAGGTATGCAAAGCAGAGGAAAAAAGGAGAGAAAGAGAAAAATTCTTACAGTGACACGATTTCTGTAATTAGAAACAAAGCCCAAACTTGGGTCATAAGAAACAGATGATCCAATCTCAAATATTTTATGGTGTACTAGCAGTTTAAGTCAAAGCATATTCCTAAAAAACAAGACGGTTTTACATATTACAGAAGAAGTCAGCCACTTAAGTTATGCTGTCAAAAGAATTTGGTATTTCTCATACCTGGAAAGATACTTCATGTTGGATATTCTTTCAACAGATCTTCATACCAAAGCAAACTAAGAACCACGAGGTTTTAAAATGAAGTGCTAAAAAGAACCCTACTTACAGGATTACTGGTTGCCATCTTCAAGGGCCTCAGAAGTTTTTGTTTTCAATCTAACCAAATGAAGTCCTTTTACAGAACTGAGCATGGCATCTAAACTGTCAACACTTAAAACCTTTTATGAAAAGCAATGTCAAATATAGGAGACAAGAAACCCGGATTACTGTGATTATTTTATATAAAAAGTAATTAAAGCAACACAAGTTCATAAACTGTCAGATCAGCTGGAGTCATACAGTGTGTGCTCTAAAACTGGTCATTTCCTTGCAGGGACAGAATAATTCTCATGTTTCAAAAAGATTAGATGTACAGAAGCAGCACTTTTTGAGAGGTAACTGTAAAGAAATGGTTAGTAACAGCAATTCCACATTGTATCAATTTTACAGTAACAGCATGTATTGTATTTTCAATTGAAGGCCTTCAAGCTAATTAGCCACTAATTGTGATAAGAGGGGCACTGCATTAGCCAATTAGCCAATTAAATTGCCTAGTATACTGAAAATCAGCAAGATGAGTAAAATTGGAAAAGCTGAAAGGGAGAAGGCTCTGAAAATAACATCTGAATAAACAGGCCACTTTGAGTAACCCGCTACCTTTGCAGAGAGTTGAACTACTCATGAATAAACTAAGAGGGATGTCTCAGCATAACTGAATATACCCGAAGATCCACTCTACTGGTGAGCCAAGTAAAGAACACTACTAGGAACACAGAGCAGGATACTGCAACAGCAGACTAATTGCTCGGAGAGTCTACAGGGATAGATGCAACATGTGACAATAAAAAGTGAGTCTGAAGTGTCTAAGAAAGTTGTGAAAAAGGAGAAAAATGACGACAAATTTCAGCCATAGTATGAGATAGAGTGTTAAAGTGAAATTAAAAAGGCAAGAATGAGCTAATCTAAAACGTGGTTTTTACTTTTGCAAAAAAGTTCCAGGGCTCTACATTAACTCTTTCCCTTTGGACAGGGAAAAAGCAGAACTGTGCAAGAATGCATCTTAACTACATATAAATCAGCAATCAAGACAGATGTGGAGGAGAGCTGAAACTAGCTTCCTGAATAGCACAGTAGATACACAGCAAAAAAAACCCCAAACCAACAAAAAATAAAAAACCCACCCAAAAACTGCTTGAATGCCAGATGTTTGTGGTTAAGAGAATATGTAGATGTAAAATATAAATAAGATATCCCAGCAGATGATAGCTGTTTGACTTGAAGTTAAGCAATCTGGGCAAACAAAATACATTAATGTAAAGCCCTGGTTTACAATGTTTGTTAACAATTACCTTGTAAATAAACCAAGTGCCTTTTTCACTCTCAAACCAACTTTCAGATCATTTCAAAAGCAACAAGGCTATAGAAATAATTAAAGAAATAGGTAAAAACAGAACAGATACTACAACGTAAAGGAAAATAGAAGTATCTGGTGCATAACTCACCTTATTAGAATGAACTGGCATATCACATATAGAGCACAGATGGGGATAACCCTTCGGTAAGAATCCATGGAAGTCTTCAATATTGCTATTTGGAGGAGCACCTCTCTTTTTCTCAAAGAGAGATCTCTCGGGACCAGGACCACGACCCATTCTGTCATACTCACTGTCAAATTTATGATAGTTATGCGAAGTCTCACCATAAAAAGATTCATCCCTACACCTTTCTCCATCTCTTAATCTGTCATCTTCATAATCCATTCTGTCATAATAACCAGATTCTTGAGAACGACTTCCATGGTCATAGTCAACCACTGGGTTGAGACTAGGACCACGATCATCAAAGCTATCTCTTCTAAAATGCCTTTTTTCTTCCCAATCATCCCTAGGTACTCTGTATGGTGGTTCCCGTGTGGATGATCTGCCATCTCTACCATAACCTTCTTCAGCTCTCCTCCTTTTAAGTTGTAGAAGAATCTGAGGCAAGTTTTCAGGAGTAATCTTGTCCTCGGGATAGCGACTCAGTTCATCTAAGTCTCTAGCAGACAGACCAAAGCTGGCCAAAATGTTAGTGGCCTGGTCTGCATCTCCACGGTGCTGAGAAGACAAAGGGAGCGGACCTCTACTTCCAATGTTAAATATAGACTGCAAATTATGGGAAGAGGTACTACCAGAAGACAGTGCACTATGAGATCCTTGTTGGTTCAATGAAGAACTCATTCCAAGATTCATTAAGCTAGCAAGGCGTGCAGTACCCTGGTTCATCCTTCCAAGAGATGCTGGCATATTTAAAGACTGGGTAGCAGCAGCAAGAAGGCCTATTCCTGCAGAGAGGTCACGCCCATGACCTTGTGAATCCCTACTCAGAGATGACTGCTGGAATGACTTGGACATTGTAGAACTATAGCTTGTCTACTTTATGGATAAAAAAAAAATTTCTTTTTTTTTTTAAAGATGGCTGAAAAGAGAGCTCACACTAGAAAGCTAGGCAAACTTCACTTCAAAAATGGTAACGCCAAGAAAGAGGATCAATAATGACTGCAGATCTTCTTCAAGCTGAGAAACACCAGACAATTCTGTAGAAAAACAAGCAGTTTTAGTCACAAATCCCTTAAAACAGATGCAGTTTTAAACTTATGCATCATGTTGATCTAAAAAAAACATTAAAGATCTCAATCTTACAAGGCTTTTATTACATAACTTAACAGATTCAAGAGGTACCCAGAACCTACATGTATTATTTCAGATAAAAATACAGTAGTGTTTCCTATACATACTACTCTTCTTCTACAAAAAGCTACTTTCATACCGAAGACAAGTGAATTTCAGAAGTTTGGGATGTCTGAAAGCATCTAAAGTTTACTAGCATATAAGCCTTGATCTCTGGTTAATGGTTTTGTTTATACCCTACGTTACTGTACTGTGTCTATGAGAAGACCACAAAAAAAACCTTTAAGCCCATAGAATCCAAGATGACTTGGGCATATAATACATATTTGAAAATGAAACCTATACCACCACAGAATAGGACGAAAGGAAGTTAAAAGTAACTGAAGTTTGGGCAAAAAGTTTCTGCGGTAAGATCTAGTAAATAAGACCAAACATAATATTCAATCTTTATGCAGTAAAATTCAAATTACTGATGTGAAGACAGATGTGAACAAGAAAAATAAGTTTTAAAATTTGCAGGAAGTAAACAAGACCTCTTGCTCAAATTGCAGTTATACTGATAACAGCACTTAGGAAGCGATTCTTTATTCTATTATATTGCAGCTGTGACATCAGCCTGTACTCGCAGACCTCAAGCTAAACAAGGTCAGGCTTAGTACTGCGATGGGAGACCCAAGGAAAAACCTGCTCCTGCAGAAAGAGACACTAGGTGAGTCAGGAGATGGCACTACACCCCCAGCCAGGCCTGCAGAACAGCGGTGTCTGTGTCTCTTACCAGCATACTGCTTCCTTGGTTCAGGCCCAACACTTTTGATACCATGACCACATGTGGTAGTTAAAGATCCTGAAACAATACTCATAAGAGAGAGATATCTGTCCCACGTCCCACTAAAATACTAACCTAGTATTAAATATTTGGTTCAGTTGCAGGTACTTGAAGTTTTAACTGAACAGTGTATCAATATCCACGGTATATTTTATGATGCAATGGATATATTTCATAAAGTGGTGGTGGGTGGGTTGTTGGGTGGTTGGGTTTTTTTTGTTGTTGTTTTTAAGTGCAGAGCAGAAATAAACTGTAATACTTCACCGCATAGTCTTTCAGCCTTAGGATAGATACACAAAGTTTAAAGCAATTCAACACACATGAAAACATTCCACCAGGAATACACCATTCTTGGGTCCTCGATGTGGTAAAGCCCTTTCAAATCTCTGCAGAGCAGTTTTGCTTCTCCAGCACTGCCACTCGGATGCACATAAAACACATAATCACTTAAAAAGAAACAGGCACAAGTTGCATAGTTCCAAATGAAATCAGCTTCTAAGAGAACAGGTACGTTTGGGGAGGAATGGAAAAGACAAAATGAAAGCAAGGATTTTTCCTTGAAGAGACCAGTTCTGCAGAAGGCAATTTCTCTTGTACTGGAAACAGAAGAAAAAAGGTCAAGGTTACGAGCATGTCTCTATCCCAGCTGCCTACTCAATCCAGGGCCCTGTTTCAACAGCGCATAAAGTTTTTTCTACTTTAAGCTGAAAAGCACTTGGGTTCCCTTTCTCAGTAGCAGCATGTTACAAAACTATGCATTTACGTAGAAAAATAATGGATTCTATGAGATACACATAAAGTACACAAAACCCACACAACTCCATCTTTGAAAAGTAACTGCTTTATACGGTTTGCTACATATTCCGTTATCAGTACATCTGAACTCATATTTCAGCTATGCTTTTAAGATCCACCTACATTGGAGTCACTTAAAGTAAGCTTAACTGTGTAACATTTGGTTGAGAGTAAGAGATTGAGAAACACGGGGATGGAAATAAGTTTAAAAGTATCTGAGGCAGAAGACAGAAAAGCATTGCAGAAAGCTTCAGAGGAAAACAGTGAAACAAGAATACAGGGAGAGCAGACGAGGTAAATTCTAAGTGAGATATCCAGGACAAGCTGGCCACACTAAGGAACACCTGAATAGAAAGCATTTAAGAACTGTATCGTAAAAACCAAGACTCTTAAATTCAAACATGAGAGAAACACTAATATTTACCTGGGTACCATGTTCTACCTTACACATATTCAGTAATCTTCAAAGTACTTTATGACAATTTTACAAGTTAATCCTTATTCCTTCCATTTTTACATATAAATTTCCTTCTAGTTCATTCACACACTTACAGAATGGTTTGAAACTGAACTTACTAGGTTCTTCATAAAATCAGGTATTCTAGAGGGCCTTACAAACCTGACCCTGACAGTGATTCAGCAGACAACCATGTGGTCAGGAAAGGCACGGTGCATCCTGCTGTTAATGCAAGGACCTGCACGATACAAGTTTTCACTAAATCAGGAAAGTTCTCTGCTCTTCAAAAATACCCTTTCTCTTTGAACAGATGCTCACTAAGCCTCTTGTCACATTTTCAATTGGCAGCTCGTTGTCCGCTGCTCTGGAGAGATTAGCAGAGAACAAAACCCAACAATTCCCAGCCTGGCACCGACCTGGGCTGCAGAGAACCTGATTACATGCCATGCTTTGACCCCACATACACACAGAGGTTTTACATAACCATACCATGCTGCTGCTGCTGCTGCAAACACCCATAGAAGAAAGAAGCAAAGGGTAAAATACAAACAGGAAAGATGGAGGGAAAAAATGAGACAAAGAAACAATGAGGGACAATCTTACGAAAAAGCATGAAGTGGGACAGTAAGACAACTGTATGATGAAGACAGAATATAACATTGTCAGTTGGTCTGCTAGCCAGTACACTGTCCTACACCTAATCAGGTATTTCAGGGGAGTACTTAAAAAACTAAGTTTTGAATTACCCTCAAAAATCACTATTTATCACATCACTGTCATCTTGCAATTGCTGTTATACTCTACTCCTAACCATCCCCATTCTTTAAGATTGGATGAAGACAACAACAAAACAAGGTGGGGGAAGAGCTCTAAAAATCATACCAAAGAATGTTTAACTTCCACATGGTCAGGTTTAATAGGTGATTCTAAGACAGCATTTCTTGCACTGATCACTTCTGAAAGATTTCACGTCAGTATCTGATAGAGACAGGTTCCCACGGACCAATGCCAGCTTTGAAGCGAGTGTGCCATCAACTGAGTCACAGCAACAAGATGAGTATGACTGAACAAAGCTGTCTAAAGATCCAGACATGATTTAGCCGAGTTGAAAGTGTTATTCTAATTGTTCTTCATGTAATTTCAGCTATACTGGGAACAGACAGGCTTTCAGATACACATTTTTTAAGATCTGTGGACAGAAATTTGGCCATATTACTATTTGAAAATATATAATATAAAGCAATCTTGAAATAAGTTGAAAGTCAAAATGTTACTAGATTTCCAGACAAATGCAGACAATGAAAAAAACATTTTATATCTACAAGTTGCAAAAGAGTTTGCTGTAAAGGCAGACAACAAAAAAAAAAAAAAAAGAGAAATTTGAATCCTAAAGAATACACTGCTACCAAATAAAGGCCAAAATGAGGCTGATTTAAAAACACTATAGAAGGTTTTTCTTTTCATGTAAAACTCTTCAATAAAACTTACAGAACTCTTGCTCCACATAAATATTAATTTTGTTCCTGAAAACCGTTTAATACAATGAATTCTTGAGATACATTGATCATGGTGAACACCATAACCTTACAGAACACCAGTAGCCTGAAAATAATTCCCTAGCTCCCTATTCCTTCTACCACTCATTTTTTTTCTTTTTAACTTGTGCACACATATTATAGCTTTAATATTAATCTTGTTCTTAGAACTAATCTTTTACCCATTCCTCTTCCACTATTTATAGAAAAAGTCTCAAAAATGAAAAGTAACTGTTTTCACTTTCTAGTCAGTTTCACTTTCACTTAAAACCAAAATTACTCAAAACACATTGAATTTAATCAAATAAACTTAATTATGATAAAAACATGAAGAAATGTGCAAGCTGAAAAACACACCCTCAGTTTATAACACAAGACTTTTGAAGACTGTACACCCTTGGGAAAAAAGTCTCAAAGAAGTTTCACATCCACAATCCTTGCTCTTTCGATAAAAATCTACAGATTTTTCTTCTTCTCCCTTACATGTTACACTCAGTGCAGCAATCTGTTCCGCTATGGAAGAATTCACATACTTCTTGACAAAACTATCTCCAACGCATCATGGCAAAAAAAGGTTATCGACGGAAGAGATCTGGAAGTCCAAGTGACAAATTGGACAGACAGCTCCCCATGTTGCTCCGAGAACTAATGGTAGTAAAAACAAGAACTTGCAAGGAAATTAGAAGCAGATGTTATCTAGCCACTGAATGACTGAATGACGGAGTGTAATGGATTTGGAATCTACGGGATTACTTTAACTTGGGACAATACAGAAAAGGCCACTGTCTTTCCAAAGGCACAGGAGGAATTGTCTAGCAGCCTTAAAGAAAATGCAGATTATCACCCATTTCAGGCACCAGTATTCAGAGTGGTTATTTAATATTGCTGTTTCACATGCAAGAAAACAACTCATCTTGTTCGACTGACCTTCAAAGGTCATGACCTCAAAAATTTAAGCAGCACCTGGCACACTGGATGCATGCGCTTTTTTTGTGCACAGATTAGACAATCTGTTTCAGGCAGAACAACTGGAAGAGTTTCATTTCTTAGGATTATGTTCAACTTCATCTCGGTGACTTGCTCGATCAGAGAAGCACATAATAATCTGGGATCTGAAGTTACTGTAACAGAGGATTGCTTCAGAACAGAGAAGTATTACATATGAAAAAGACAATTTATAAATGGGGAATTAAAATGACTAGTTTAGCAATTAAGAATCTTAAAAGAACTTACACAATTTTCAACATTTGAATGTAGAAAAGAGCACTGCAAAAGACGCTGATTTCCTATTTCTGCTCATTATATAATTCAATAAATTCAAGCATCCTTCCTTTTGTAAGAAGTGCATGGAAAAAAGTGCATCTTTTCCTTTACAGAAACAACAGAAGTGAAAAAAAGGGTCTAAAGAACAGTACAGAAAGAGTAGAGGAGTCAAAAAATGTGTATTTTTAGAAACAGAAAATAGAAACAGCCAGGAACATACAGAGTAACTGCCATCACGTGTACTGACCACTCCATCAACATATGATTACCTCTATGGCTTCCACGTACTCCTTCCTACTACTTCTAAGTCCACTCTTTGTCACTACCTTCAGAGCTCCAACTCTGCAATAAGATGGATACGCACAGGTTCCAGCACCTACGAAAAGCTCCATGAAGCCATTAAGACTCAGTTCAACAGAAGAGGTCTGCCAAAACCAGTCACTGCAGAATGCTGCAGGACCTTAGCTTGGAAACTCTGGTAATAATGACCCTACGTTCATGCACTCAGCAAAGCGAGGAGACAATCACTATTCATTCACATCAGTTTTGGAGATCAATAGCCTCACAGGCACCAAAACTTTGACAAAACCCACAGAACATACCATAATTATTTTTAAAAATTAAATAGGTCATACATAAAATTATTCAAAGACAGTCCAAATCAGAGAGTTAATCACTGTAACAGAGAACAAATTTTACATTTAAAAAAAAACCAAAACAGAACACTTCTGTATTCTGATCTGGTAAGCGATTAAAAAGCCTTCTGACTAATCAGATAATGTAAGTCTGCCTCCAGGCATTTCCAGAGCTGGGATAAAATCACATTCTTTCCCAGCTGAAATCTTACATGACGTTGTTGAGATGTATTCTGGCTGCAGAGAAGAAGAATCAAGGGACTGTTCGACTGTTTTAGTGCTCAAAATAAAATCTCTCTTGTTTTAAGTTATAACTACACAATATGGTACTTAAACACTCGCAGACTAAATTAGTTCAGAAATATCGCGAGGTATTTGCTTTTGTTTTCAAGACTTGTTGACTTAGAGCACTGAGGAAGAATGTAAGCAGCAGAGAGGCGACACAAATACACTCATAAATTAAGAAATAAACTGAATGGAAATAATTTCTTTGCAGCTTTGCTTACTTTTAG